AGGTGCATTCTTGGATGTTCCTGCATAATACTGAAACAAATTAGATCACCACCAGGATCATATGTATTGTTTAACTTCTAATTTTTCTGATTTTGCAGCTGGCAGCAACATGCATATCATTTTCAGGAATCCAAAGACATAATTTAAGAGAGTATAAGCCTCTTTGCAAATCATTTGGTGTACGTTGCAAAAACATGGGTTCAATCCAGATTAAGGTCCAAAGTATAGCTTCAATTGTGGTAATGGATTTTCATATGTTTGTGGTAATGGATTTCACATATGTTTTACTGCTCCTGAAATTTTACTTCACTCAGGATTAGGTGAAAAAAGAGGATGAATGTTATGTGTGCTACAACACTCTTCAAAGTGCAACAGTCATTCATATCACAGGCATCTTTCTCAAAACACCAAGTACTGCTTTCACTATTTAGTCAATTACTTTGTTGTGTCAGCTGCAAAATATATGTATAATCAATCAGCACAAGTAGAGATTAAAAGAAGGATCTACCTGCATGTATACAAGCACCGACTACAAGCAAAGTGTAGCCCAGACTCAGAAGCAGCGAACCAAGATTAACATGCCTGAGGGAGTGGAAGGTTGGAAACTGGGAGAGGAGTATCATCACTACAGTCACCATTGCTATAAAGTCATACAACTTCAGTGACCCATTTGGAGAAAGGTTTGAGTACATGATCTTGTAACAAGAACAACAGCAGGTGTCAGTTCAAGAGAAGACAGTTTAAAAGAATTACTGGCTTGTTAATAAATCTATGCATAGTGATAAAATAGGTATCGATACTTATGCAGAGCAAAGAAACCATATTCAGAGCAGATTGAGCAATCTTCATACCAGAAAGTAATTATGTTCCAACATGTCTTTATCCCAGTTATGAACTTCATGATGTTTTCACGTCTGTGCCTAGAAGACACATTGTGCCATGGAAGAGCATAATCACTCAATTTTGATTTCCAACATGGTTTTGAACTACAAGAGATATGCAGGACATGCAGACACTAATGAGTTGAATTTTCACAAATTGAAACCTTCTTTAAGTTTTATCAACAAATTTCTGTTCATTAATAAATTTAAGCTTTTCTAAGTTAGCACCTAAAGTTGCCATCAGCAAGGTATCGATCACAAAAAGCCCTTTTTTTTCAGCCATTTCGTATTACCACTAATTCTGAGTTCTGTTAACAGATTTCTATTCCCTGTTTTTGCAATTAAAGGTCTCAAACCAAAATCAACAGACCCCCTTGTCCGGCACATGAAGCTTACTTGCACAACCCCCAAATACAGAGGCAGCAATGACAGATTATAGATCAAATTGAACTGCCAATTATGATAATAAAGATAGCCAGAGCGCATTAAGAAGTCCTCTAAAGCTTCCAATACCATATGTTTAATCTGTCTGCACGCTACAAGAAGCAAGTGGATACCTATGTTGCTATACCTGTAGGCATTCCCCAGCAAGCAGAATTGCTCCTATGCTAATGCCTGTGTTGATGGCTGTCTGAATGAATATTACAAAATAAAACATCCATCCCGATCCTACAGAGTGAAACGCAAGGCCTTTAGTCAAGAATTACCGATACACTTCTTCCCAATAAGCAGGAGCAAGCAGCAAAAGAATTAGCAAACTTTAATTTGTTGACAGCCAAATGCTCTCATCAATGTCAGAATGCCAAAAATGCAGAACGTGAAAGCAAAATTGTTTGAAATGTAAAAGACACGGCTCCAATTAGCGACTGAAACATAACATGTATTGATGCTCCAACAATATAATGGCGCAGCCTAAGTTTCTCCAAGAGGCATTCATAGGACGCTGCACAAGGCGTTATTGCTCAGAGTAATTAGTTGTTATCCCCATAAGACCCTTTCAAAAATCTACTCCATGGTATCTCAACAAACCATGAACACTACGATTATCACCAGATATGTCAGGTTAAAAGTAAATTCCATAACCTTCCTACTAATCCAAAACTAGAAAGGAAAGCTCATTCACTTAAATAACAAATTGCACCCAGAAAAAGGCCATCAACAGGTCCCAGTATAGCTGCACATTTCTTCTCAAAAAGGACTCCACAGGTCGAGAACTGAGGCAAGGCATTTAAAAACTTCACATCAGAAACAGAGTACTGGTGCGTGCGAGTGTGTGTGTGTGAGAGAGAGAGAGAGATGAGCTAATGCGCAAAAGATGAGGTACCCAAGACGTCAGCAGCGAGTTCGCGGAATCTGATGTGGCGACGTCCAGACTTCTCACAGTGATCAAGCACCAAGGACATGAGATAGTAAGAGTAGAACGTAACCGCCCCCATCACCGTTAAGCAGAAAAAGCCCAGACCCCATCCAAGACCTCGGAATGCGTACGGCAGCGTCAGTATTGTGGGGCCCACTATCGCTGTCGTCAGATGAAATCCCGCATGCCACCACTCCCCTGGCCAGACCGGAAAAAGGGAGAATCCTCTGATTAATAGAAGAATGCTAGAACTAGTTAGTACAGACTAATCTTGCATTTGATCTTCACACAAAATCCTTCTTACCTTTGGACTCCAAAACAAAAACTGCGCCGGCGTCGTGCTCCCGATTTTTCTCCGGTATAGATTGATCATCCCGTGGATTTTCTGGCGCCATGTATTACAGAACGTATCAGTACGTGCAAATATATGTATGCCGGTTTTAAATTTATATCAGTTGATCGTGCATGTCACTGGGTCGTCAGAGGAGAAGAATATATAAGAAGGAGGATACGGGGCTGATTGATCGCGGTCGAAGGAAAGGCAGGAAGGATATGGGGTGGCTCGTCGCTGTCTGAGTCTCAGGAAAAAACAAAATAGAAAAGAAGCCCCACCAGTGGGAATGGGAATACGAATATAGTATGCATCTACATCCTGCTTTAATTACTAGTAGTTTATATATAGAATATGTCCTTTTTATTTTTTATTTTTAATCAGAGTATAGCAATATAGGAGGGGATGAGATTAGAACGAGGCAGCTGGGATGACGGAATTGCCGAAAGGGAAATTTTCACTGTTGTCATCAATGAGAACGACGACTCTACAATGAAATGGTTGACCTCTATTATAGTGGCATGATGTGAGAAGCCTGACGAAGCCGTAAGCCAATGGGTGGGAAACCAAGCCATCTTAGTTGTCGCGCACAAGCAATTGCATGGGCGGAAAACAAACCCTTTTAATTCTAGGAGCACTACAATATAATATTTGAAAATTGAAAGTTACCATATATCTATTGAAACTACAACACTTGAAATATTAGGAATAAATAGATAGAATAATAGTAAGAGACGGATTAGGCAGTGTTGCGCTGCTATTATTATTATTAGTATCATCATCATTTTTTAGGTAGTCTTCAATTGTCACTATGCTAACGTTGTTCTAATTTTGTGAGAGAAGAGACAAAATGGAAGACTTTCAATTATTAAGGCTTGTATGGTTTAACTCAATTTACGCCCTAACTTAGAATGGTTTGAGTTGCTGAAAATGAGAAAGAGAATCTCTCAGTTTTCCGGGGGGAATTTGTAGCTCGTAGGAGCTGGAGAGAGTTGTTTTATGGTGGGTGGTGGCTTAGCAAGCAAATACTACCAGTAATCAAAGTAAAGAATCCCCCATGCAGTACTCCTCACTCGCCCCAAGGACTCTTCCCATGCCCATGCCAAATTAATAGAGAGTGAAGCTGTAATTAGCATCTTTTTCCTGGATTATATATTCTACAGTTTCTGCCGAATCCAACCAAAAATAAAATGAGTGGTGTACAATAATATTAGTACTGTGATGATGGGTCCGTCTGATCTGACGACGACAAGGAATAATACGCGGAAAAGGAAGGCAAAGGGGGAAGCGGAGAAGCAAAAGCCTTGCGTTCTTGGTTTTTTGTCCAAATTCACGATGGCAACCCGGCAAACACAAACTCAACCTCCATGAGACGGAGACGATCATTGCGGCCACGGCACCTCTTATTGTCGATTTCCCACAAGCAAGTAACAAACAAATTTCAAGTGACGTCCAAAAACATGATGATGAGGTGAAAGAGCGAAGACCAGAGGCAGAACCGCAGGCCCCAACGCATGGTTTGTTCCCACTTCCCACTATGATGAATGGATTGGGATTTGGGGCTTTACGGTTTTAGGCTTTTAGGCTTCTAGCTCTAGGTGGTGGGTGCATCTTATTTCTTAGCATCATTTCTTGCCCCTCCTAAATTTTGTTTCATGATGTATGAAAAAGAGAGGAATTGACAGCTATATAATAAATAAATAAATAAGAATCGAAAGTCAGCAAGCAGTTTTACCTGATACGAGCAAAGGAATACTCCCTTCTTCTGGCGCTCCGTCGGAGGACCGTCGGCCCATCTTTCCGGTTCAAGCTCTGAGTGGCCGGCGATTTTGGAAAGGCTTGCTTTTGTTGCCTTCGGCTAGAAGTAGAATAACTAATAGCCTACCTAGCTTCCTTATTTCGATCTCTTTTTAGATCTGCTTGGTGAGTCGTTACAAGTAGAGCATGAACGAACGATTGAAGTTTAGTAGTCCTAATTTGGTATATGCAGTTGGGAGTTGGCATCCATCTGTTACGAGAAGATTGTAGAAGGCGTTGACATTGGCGGCACATTTAGGAGGGGAGGCATTGACATCGACGGCGCATGTCGCGCGACTATTAGTAACTGCGAAACGTACCTCTACCTCATCTTTTGGAATCGCCGACAGTAAAGTCACAGAACACCAACCTATACCTTTTTCATTAACCTGGTTTTGTGGGCCTTGGGCAGCCCTATAGGAATTTGCCATGTATATATATAGCTAGTGAAGAATCCTGGGCCTGCTGCTGATTCTCTAGTTCCCAATTTTAACGCTTCTATGCTTTAATTTATAATAATTTGAAAAAAAAAGGCTGGCAATTCGCACTGCAAAGCTCACAATTCAACTTCTTTCATTTTTTGTTTCTGATATTCTTAATAACTGGCAAAAAAATTTTATGAAGAAAAAGCCACTGTAGAACTTTAAGGACTCCTTGAAGTTGTGCTCAAACTGTCTAACCAAATGATTGTGTACAGAAATGTAACATCAGCATTAAGCTCGATTACGAGCAATGCCAAATTTATGTATTCGAACGCAAAAGTAAACTGTATTGATATCGAGCTTTGGTTGGTAGCAATTAAGACTAGCGGAACTTTTGGTTCGTTAGCAGCCCACATGGCCAACAGAACAAATTGCAGACAAACGGCAAAATCCCCTGGGATTGTCTACCACCAGAGCTCGTGTTCCATCGATTCCTTGTCACATGCCTGATTGCTTTTGCAGCTTTAATCATTCCAACTTTTCCTTCTGCTAAGCATAACCTTCCATGTAACCGGGTCCGATGAGCACATCAAGAGTTCAGTTGTTGATTTCAGGCAATTCTTCCAACAAAATCTCCTTATTCCAGTTCATTTTGGTTGACTGCCAGAAAAGGAAGGAACATGTTGCCTTCTTGGTTTGTGTCTTGGCAGTTAGGACCTTCTATGCATTCTTCCTTGTGCACTTCTCCTGCATTGTAGTAAAGCATGCCAATTCACCTCGCTCAGCTAATTTCAGAAGCTTAAAATTAATCAGAAAACAAGGGAACAATCATTATTAACAGACCTTAAGGTTTTTTGGCTTCTCTTTCTTTGAAACATATGCAGGGCTTCTCTTTCTGTGAAACATATGCAGGGCTTCCTGTTGAAGCGCCATCACCTTTCTCCTGCTTGTGAAGTCCCATTCTACGCATGTACTATTACTTTTTCCTCGATACCATCCACAGTTAACAAATTTGTTTTGCAACTCAGAAAGTTTGTTTTGCCAGACTTTCGGAGATCTCTTATCCTGACCTCTCAATATATTTTACAAAGTACAAAAAGAAGTAAGCAGCAAAGTTCCCCCACACTCCCAGTCGAGGGACTTCTTATGATTATAAAGGACTTTGCACGTATATGAGTGGCCCCTTCCCCCATCCTCACCCATGTCCACCAACATAACAAAACATCAATGGTAATGGAGAGATTTCCAATGATTTAAAAGATTTCAACTTAAACAGGAGAAAAAGGTCGAAGCCCTTAGCAACTTAGAATTGTTGCAGCCCTTTGTCCTTTTCCTAAAGAGGACCAGCAGATCTACATTTGTTGACCTCCAAATGCAATTTCACATCTCTACAGCAGTCACGAGGATCCTACCAAAGAAGTAAATATTAAACAAATTTGTCCCACATCATGATATCACCTGAGCTCGGACATAGGACAGAACTCTTTCAAGAACATTAGATTCTCCGCCTATTGTCAACACGTGGTCTTTTAGACGACTGAACTTCTGAATTGTCAGCGCTTGATTGTATCTCATTAAGTTTCTCTCTAACCAGGCGAACTGTTTGATTCATAGATTCCAATGGGAAATACTCCTTGTCAGAAGAAACATGAGTCACGGAAGCAGAACCTCCACTTCTAGCAGTGTAATGAGAGTCTCCAAATTCCCGTTGTTGCAACCCCAATGACTGGTCTCTAGCTGATGGCCCATGACCATACGCTGCAGAGGCATTGGAGCTCCTAGGTTTCAACCGTGCAAGAACTTCGTTTCTCCTCCCTTCTAATTTCTCCTTGGTATCGGACAAGCTCTCGAAATGAGGTGCATATGAAATCTGCAGCCTGTTCCCCAGAAAAACAAACTCATCCAACTTCCTTTTAGCAAACCTAGCATTGTCAACCTGATGAAACTTAATCCAGTAAACATCGGTAAAGGGCTCACAATCTTCAGCATCCATTGGTTTGCATTCTTCAATCTGCCCATATGTTGAGAAAAGTCTCAACAATTCATCACCACAACCCAATGCTGGAACATTCTTGACAACGAGGTACTTAGATTCATCGCAAACTGTATAAACTCGAACACCAGGAGTCTCGCCACGGTAACGAGGCATAATACCCTTAAATTTTCCTTTCGCCCTCTATTTCAACAACCTAGAAACAAACCCTTAAACCTAATCAGAACTTTTAGAACCGTTAAATTTAGACTTGACTCAATACATGAAACCCGAATAGAATAATAATAACTAGATTGAAACTAGACCAGGATTGGATAAACTAATCGGCAATCCCAAAGCAGTGTATATGGGAAAAAATGATAAGAGGGAAATAGAAACAAAAATACTTAAAAATACTGTACCTCCCTCGGATGAGGAAGAGGAAGACCATGCAGGGTATTTTGCCTGTGTGTTGACGACCTTGCCCATATAAATCAAATAAAACAAATCACTACTAAAAGTTTTTCATAATAATAGTACTACGACAGGCGTGGGAAATCTGGGTTGCCTTTGCCTTGGGGGGATGCATTGTTTATGTTGGTAGGATTAATTCAGAACGTTATCAAATCACAAGTTTCAACAAATTGGTCTGCGTTAAAACCCAAGGCAACAATGTAAATCAGAAAAAAGTACTCCTACGTAAATGAGAGGATTAATATACAAAAAATTGTAGATGAATTTTAAATCCAAAGGATCAATATTCAGAACAACGGTCACCATGTAAAAGGAAAGCGTTCCGACATTTTCTGTAGGTTACTGATTAGTGGCATCCGACAAGCAGAGGCTTTGAACATCATTGAACTCAAGGGCAACAACTCAGTTAAGCAGAAACATCATTTTAACAAAAGAAAGAGAATGCATTCGAACTATTCGCCTATACAAGCATAAAAAATATAACATAATCAAATACATAATAAATAGCACAAAATTCGACAAAACTCATGCAACATAAATTAAGCAAACATCTCATTAAGTCAAAACCAATTTAAAATGCAGCTGGCAGAATAGTAAGATCTAGAACTCGGTTTAGTTCTCAAACTTTTAGAGCAAGAAAATCACACTTAATCGAGTGTATAAAAGTCATAAGAATTATTAGGATATCCAAGAGAAATACATCAAATAGTCAAACGAATCCTAACTAGTGCCAAACCTAGGGTTTTAGCGGTGCAACTTTCAAAGATTGAAGTGAATAAGCTCTAAGTTAGATTCTCAAAATGCTAACTGTAATCGGAGAACATACCGCAATCAATCACTCTGAACACAAGAATGGCGGCAAAGAGACGAAAAAGGAATAATTCATGGAAGGAAGGCAAGGTGGCGGTATATATGGGTCGCCGGAGGAAAAGAATAGACGAACTCCGGAGCACGCGTGTAACAATGGGGAAATGGGTTAGATGGGAAATTCACAATTGGGCTTAGTCTTTAGAAAATGACTCTCCAAACATGCACGCTTGGACCTAGCAATGCGTGGAGGTCTAGGAGAATTTTTTTTTTTTCTTTTTTTGGGGTCCTTGGAGGTAGGGCTGTCAACGGTCCGGTCCAGACCGACCTCTCAACGGACGAGGGGCCTGGACGGTTGTCAGATCCAAGCAGTTCATGATTTGGATGAGATCTCAAAAATTTGTGCGGCTCATATCACGTCTTGTAACTCGATTTTCACACCGTGTGGGACCCACCGAAATGTTGTTCTATTGTTACTCGCTGTTATTCTATTGTTACACCTTGTACAGATGATGTTACACCATGTACAAATGGTGTTACACCTTTCTGAGCGGTTGTTCTGACAACTGCTCCAGTCCCGCGTCCCCTGCCAACATTTGTCGAGTACGGATAGAGATGTAGACCCGTGATTCGGATTCGGATTCGAACCCATTTTATCTAATAAATTTACGAATCGGATACGAAACATGTTATTTCGACCCGTATCTAACTCAGACCCGTTTTAATTAATTAGTAATTAAAAAATATATACCTATATATCATAATTATTCATATCAATAAATGTATTCCCAAATTTTTCTAACCCTAATACCCACTCCCCATCGCCGCACTGCCCGCACCGCACATCCCTTCTGGCTTCTTCCCCTCGGTCCCCACTCTCTTTTTTCTTTTGCCTTGCCTCCCGCTGCCTCCGCCAGACGCCAGTGAAGTGACCAGTCCGCGGGAAACCGGCGACGCTGTCTGACTCTCTCCATCTCCAGCTCCAAAGAAACCGCCGGATCTGGCCAGCTCCAAGGAAGCCCAGCTCTTGCAGTCCCACTGGTATCTTGTGATGGTAGTGATCATAAGGGCGGTTGGGCCGAGTCACAGCATTGACCCTTCGGCAGGTGCTCAGATTAGCGGTGGCAGTGGTGGGCGAGAGCCGTTTGGGGTTTACAGAGAAAGTGGTGCTGCTGTATGGTAGGATGCGTGCATTGAAGAGGTTTCGGAAGGTCAGTTTGAGGAGGGGCGAGTTTGGGAGGAGAATCGTGCCAGTGGGTTTAGTGAGCAGCATATCCGACTATCTTGTTCCTGTCATTACTTATTTCTGCTGTCTGTGATTATTATCCCATGGCCCATGGGAAGCCTTGCTGATTTGCTGGCCAGTAAGTTTTACGAATCAAAGATATGACGCCGGCCAATACAAATGACTGATAAATAACCAACCTGCTTATTGTCTTCTTGTAATCCCTTAATATTAAAAAGATCTGTGCGTAATTGTCTTTGCTTTTGTTTTCATTATACCACCTGCCTCCCGCCCAAAAAAATGTAGCATGAACGGGTTTTCGACGGGCCGGGTAGGCCCGACCCAGATCCGAGACCCGTATAGAAACAACAGGGACCCGTCGGATATTCGAGTCGAATCCGGAACTAATGCAGTATAACGGATCCGGATTTATTCATTTCAATTCAGGCCCGGCCTGTTGACAGGCCTACTTGGATTTTTGTAAAGCCTTAGGGATGGTTCTAAATTAATCACTTACAATTGAAGATTTGGATAGGAAATTAGGGATAGAAGCTTGATCCTATAGGCTAACTCCATGGGTTTTAATTTCCATTACAAAACCATCTCTCTTTCAAGTTCGGATTACCTATTGGATGCTTCTACTCACTAAACTTAATAGTTAAAAAAAAAAAAAGTAGCCTTTTATCAATACATACACCATGTTAGCACACTGTGTATTGAGTTTTAAACTTAGTAAAGACATAGAGTTTGCACGAGAAAAATTCAACTAATGAAGGATTAAATCAATATTCTTTTGTTTTAAATCATAATTATCTTCATTTGTGTTGGGTTAGAATTGTATCTTATTAGGTTATAAGATTAAAAAAATGTGTTATCGAATCCTCTTACTGTATATATATGCCCATCAAAAACTCCTCATTAAAATCAAACCCTAACAAATAATCCACGATCATATAATTGAATTAACCAACGGGCCGGATTCGGATAAGCGCAAGGTATTATCCTGCCCATTGCCAATCCTAGATTTGGATGGAAGTAACCAAGAATCGTTTATTTTTGGAGCTCAGTTGGAATTCAACTATCTCTATTTGTACCAGCAAAGCCTTCAACGGCCTATTACACGAGTACAACAACACAATAGGCAAATTGACTAGTTGGCAATCCAAGAAATGTCAAAACCTTCGTGACACAACCAAATTTGTACTAGCATTCATTTGATTGTCAGCAATTGAAAACATTTCCTAAAAGCACAAGTATCTCATAGATTACCCACCCAACTACCATACTTCTCCTCCTACCTGATTGTTCAATTGTCAGCAGTTGAAAACATTTCCCAAAAGCACAAATATCTCACAGACTGCACCCGTTCATTATAGGCTACTCTACCCATTAAAGTCTAAAGACACATAAATTTGAAGAAGAAACAATTAGCATGCATCTAAGATGTTCAACAGAACAAGTTGAACACCAGCACCAACACTATATCTAGTTTTTCTGGTTCTCTGCCACCAATTTTTTGTTGTATTCTTCCACCTCCTTCTTGTATGCCTCCATAGCTTTTGCAGCCTTCTCATTCCAAACTTGTTTCTCTTCCTCACTTAGTTCCTATGAGGATTGCAAATTAAACAAATAAATCCCTGAACTAACTGGTAAACATATAAAATAAATACAGCTAAAGAACACATACTGGGCGGGGCTTTGTGTACAATATATACCTTCCACTTAACCGAAATGAGGGCATTAAGGGTGGAATTGTTGATCCCAGGCCTTTCTTCCGACAAAGTCTTCCTGGCCTCTTTGCTGCATTAGTAAAAATCATAGAACAAAATGCGTTCATTCCAATTGAGTCGTTAAAGAACTATCACACTCTTTATCAATCGTTTGGTTGAGAGACTGAGTAGTAACCTGAAGAGGAGGAATGAAGATGCTGGCTTCTTTGGCTTGTTAGGATCAACATCCTTCTCTTCCTTCTTCTTTTGGCGCTTCTCTTTTGTTTTCTAAATTGTTAATGAGCAATGCATCTCTCAATTATATATTATATATTTATATTGGCTTACAAGTTTTCATATGCTTCAAATAAATCAGGGAGGGACAACATGACAAATAATATATGTAACACAAACCTTAATAATGTTCTCAGCTTTCTCTTTCTTCTTGAGCAATTGCAACGCTTCCTGCTTTTGAAGTTTCATCAGCTCTTCCTCTTCCTTTTTGAGATTAGCAGCTTCTTCCTCTTTCCTCTGCTTGTAGAGCTCGATTTCAAGCAAATACTGCTCCTTGTTCTTGTTTGCAATCTAGATATCATTGCAGAATTTTTTCAATACGCAAAAACCCTCAAATCTCCAACAAACAGAAGGACTGCATCTAGAAGAAAGGTATGCATGTTAGGCAGGGGAGTAATACCTTCTCGTAAGGTGCTCTCTGCTTCTCCGTCATGTTCTTCCATTCTTCACCTAAGACCTTTGCCACCTAATAACATATCCCACCAATTTCTCAATGATGAATTCTACAATTTTTATTAACAAAGCATATAATCAAGCTGCATTTCATCAATCACCTCCAACACATTTTTGTTCTCTGCAAGCAAAGTTGCGCGTCGCTCATTCGAGTACAAGAAGAAAGCCGTGAGTGGTTGCTTTGGTTTTAAAGGATCTTTTTCTTTCCTAAATACAGAAATCAAAGCAGACAAAATCAGTATAGAAGTTAAAGGATCCTTTTCGGCCATCTATAATTTATTATAGCATTAAAAAAAAGCAATTTAATTGGAACTTGCTTGTTAGTCTTCTTATTTTCTTTCTCTGCTTCCTGTTTGAACTGCATGTATTGTTCAAGCAACTCCATGGCAGTCTTCTGTTTTTGCTCTTCCTCCAAAAGCTTCATTGCTTCGTGCTCGCGTTTCTCAATTCCAACAATTTTCAAGTAAGCTTCCTTCTCCTCTTGGTACCTCTCCTCGTAAGGTTTCTTCTCCTCTGTGCTGAGTGTCTTCCATTTTGCCCCCAACAGAGTTGATATTTCCTTGAAATCTGCTTCCGGATTTGCTTTTTTCACCTACGTAACCAAAGATTATCACATCAGAAATTGATCCAGCTAAGTCATCCGATACTTTAACATGGTAAAACGGGAATTAAAGAAACCTCAGTGCGCATTCACCTCATTCCACTGATCTTTGCACCACAAGGCGTAAGGAGGAGATGGTCTCTTTGTCGCAGGATCCGCCTTCTTCTTCCCTTTCTTTTCTTGATCATTGTCTTTCAAAGCTTGCAACATGGGTAAGGTCTGACAAAAGGTTCAACAGAATGGAGAACTTTAAAATAAGATAACAATTGCAGCTTCCGCTGTTTCTAATGTCGCCTTTTGTCTTTGCAGTGGCATCAACTTCGATTTGGAAAAAAAAAAAAAAAATTTCAACCAAATATTTTCTTTGTATTAAAACCTAAAAATCGGAAATTTTTGAAAAAAAAATAGCAAAATCAACCCTTTCATCAGATCTTGTGAATCGTAAATAAAGGGGCGATCAGAACAAGAAATGAGAACCAAAAGCAGAAGAATTCAAAACGACACAACAGAAAACAAACCATGGTGGGCTTAAACTCCTTGACTTTCTGTAGCTTCTTGAGTTCGACATGCAGCTTCTCCTTCTCTTCCTCATTTTGTTTGAGGGCTTCTTCTTTAACCTTCAAGAGCTCCTCAGTCTGCTGTTTCTCAAGCGTCAGTTTCTCAAGCTTTTCCTGCATTTCCAGCAATTCTTTCTCAAAGGACAGTTCTGGTTGTTGCTTGGAAGCCTTTGGAGCCCCTCTCTTTGATTTTTTCTGGGGCGAAAGCTGTGAGGAGAGGCTTTCATGGTTCTCTTTGGTGGGACAGTTCTCAGATGGTGGCGCAACCGGAGATGGCTGAGGGACAGTTCCGGCCACAATGTTGGCCTCGCTGGACGATGGGGTTTTCTGCTTTAGTGCTCTTCTGGATCTCCCTTTCTTCGTGGGAGCGGGTTCAGAAACAAGAGGCATCTCTGCAATTGCAGCCATGGATGGTTTCAGAGAGAGAGAGAGAGAAAGAGAGAGACGTTGCTAACAGTGAGTGTGGCTTCTCCCGAGAGTGGTTTTGTTTTATATGCAGATTCCAACGGTTACTTGTTTCAAATTCAAATCAATTGTTGTTAACGAAGAAAAGGTTCGAGTCCCATTGGTGCACATTTAAAAGTTTGACCGTTGGTGTATTACAATGGGTGATTCGGGGCTTCCATTTTATGCTATGTCATGTTTGCCTTCCTTCTTTTTTTTTTTTTTTTTTTGCCTTCCATTATTCCAGTAGAAAGGGAGACCCAAAATAAATAAATAAATAATCAGCAACAAGCATAAAAATATAAACTTGATGAATCTTTGGTTTTCAAACTGGGATCATTTTTTGGTGTAAAGATTTCCTTACAAAGAGTGGGCTAAATGCAGAAGCATATACTTTGTATCTCTATTCAAATATAAAAGCCTCTTCTTGCGTACATGCTTCACTTCACATATAAGCCGACTTGTGTCAAAGAATTTCTACACACTATTTAGCTTAGAAAAAAATTAATCTATCAGACTAATTATAACTCTCCCAAATTTCAGGTTTGAAGAATCTCAAACATTTATATTCATCGCGTGGAGAGGCAAACTTGATCCACCATTTTCTTGACAAACGACATCAGGTGCGCTCAGCCATTGACCACCATCTTCATTAACAGATCGTTCCAAGTATCTATAGGGCCCGGCAAACACCAGTGTAGACAGTCTTTGATTATCTTTGCATTTTTGTCCTTAGCAAATGGTTGGAAGAATCTGTATGGACCTGGATGTCCATCAGGCCTCAACAAGGAGAGAGGATTTACGTCAAAAAGTTTGAGATTCACCCCTTTCTCAGAAGCTTTTGTGGATGCATTCCTGAATTCTTCTATTTCAATATCTCGAAGAATCCTGTTCAACTCATTTCTCAGAAACTCACCTTCCTTCACTGGTTCAGTTCTATTGCAGGTTCCACCGCTAAACCATTCACCGTTCTCAAAATGCTCCGGTGTGCTGGTCCTGAAAAAGATCATCCCCTTGTGATTTGACTCGGTTATGTAGTCAAAAAAGTTCCTGAGCACCTCGCGATAAGCAAAATCAAACCCACGTTCCGTCAAGTTTCTCTTAGGACAGTAATGGCATCCCAATACTGTGTTGTTCTTGTAGTAGATTGCTGATTTGGCATACCATTCACCACTGGAAAACATGATGTAGTCCAAGCTCTTGAATTGTTCAGTCCATGTGCCATCTAGTTTGTCAAGATGCAGCTCAATCTCTGATGTAGAAACACCATTGTAGTCTTCGAAAATGGCAGCTTGTGCTAAGAAAGGAGACCATAAAACTGAAACGGTGAAATTGTGGGAGGGGAAGAGCCATCTTCTTGATTTGTAGTCCTCATCATGATAAACTTGGACGGCCTTTTCCGCCTAAAAGAATATAACTCGAAATACTTAGCTATGTATAACTGAAAAATCTTTCAAATCCTCCAAAAATAACTCTGACTCGAGATATATAGCCACCTTGACAGCTTACACATAGGAAATGAATAAACAGGATGAAAATAAACACCAACGTCCAAAATTTTCAATCAACGATTATAAAAATTGAAACGAAAGCAGTTAGAATCAGAATGAAGACAAAATCACCAAGTAGCTAGCCAAGCAACACTCAGCTGCTAATCAGATTCCAATAAATAAATGCCTAAAGCAGTGCAGTAAATCCCCATAAGGAAAAGGTTTCTCACCCCCATAGGGATGTAGTGAACCTCATTACTGACCTAATTTACTGCAGTTTTGCTGCTTTCTGTGTCCAAAAAAAATTACAGAGAAGTGTCTTAGCCAAATGTTTCCATTTTTGGTTCCAATTGATTTACGAAGAATGACATTTCCTTTTCTGTTTATAGTCACCTACAGAGTGGTCCAACAACTATGTATTTCTACCCAATTCTCATGGTGCAGGGGTCTAAGATATGTTGAAACTATGTCATCATTTTTCCAACAAAGAAAAGAAATTAAAGAAAATATATGTAAATATGCCACATAACTTGACCAAATAAAATAACATCAAATCAGAAATATCCAAGCTGATGATGGTATCTAACCATCACACAGCAGCATCAATGAAGATATTCTTCTCACTCCAAACTCTGAAATTAATTAGTTGCGTAAAAATGGAAGAGTGCATTATCATACAATGTGTGGATATACAGAAATGAATCATATACCTCACATTGTTTATGACTTGTGTTTTCCTGAATTTCCTATATGTACCTCATGATATCACAGTCCACTCTGCACTAGTATCACACCAATTACAATATAAGGAGCCCCGGTGGATCATGTAATGGATAATTTGGCAATTGAAAAATTACAGAGGGGATCCCAAAGCACAGAACAAATAAACATAACCAACAGTCGTTTTCAGTACCAATCCATAACAGCTAAAGATTTTACCTTTGAAAGAACACAGATCAATGACTGTATGTGGTTGCGTGATATGGAATCACCAATCAATGCCAAAGCTTTATTTCTCATCAACTCAAGAAACCTATTAGGATTTAGTTGAGGTAACTCGCATTCTCGTGGACTCCACCTCCAGTAAAGATAACCTGTATCAGGTCGACCATTCTTCATACAGTTTTGATGGCCTTCAATCCAGTCACAGGTCTCATTAGTGTAAACAGGACCCCCAGGATGAGGAATCCAATCCCCAACGAACAGATCACATCTTCCCGCATCTTCTATGGAATAATAACCATGCAAGTTTCAGCACATCAAATTGAAACATCCTTTATATATTTTGTAGATATTCGCCTATTAATATGGCAGCAGAACAGGCCACGACAAGGCATACATTAATTTAAATCAAAAGAACCACCTTTTACCAAGAAAAGTAAAATTATACGATGTAATTCATTCAAAGCCAGCAAGAATAGTTTTGTACTCTAAATGAATAAGAGAAACAAACCTCCTTGTTATGGATCCTAAACCACCCTATACTCATCATACCCAATCTCTCCACTAAAACCAACTAACTGATTTGTTGATTGTTGAAATTCATATCACAAAAAATCAAATTAGAACATCACTATGGACATCACCTTTGACAACTCATTGATCGCATCCCATCTTTTCTCGAAAACCCAATAAAATTTCTTAAAGTGGTTCTGTTGCAAAATTCAATTGCTAAGAGAAAGAAAGATAAGATGCAACAGTCAAATGGAAGGAAAAGACTGACCATTTTCTTGACTTTCGTTGTCATCCTCGTTGAACCCACTTGAATCTGAACTCCTCTCTGAAGTTTCAGTCCCATTCGGAGAATGCTGATTAGAATTTAGAGGTGAACTGACAGAAACCAGAGGCGGTGGTGTACTTGAACTAACAGTTTGCTGAATAGGGATGTCTTGTACTTCAGACACACCACCGGATAGAGGGTATAAAAGCCTAAAAACAAGGCCAATTAGAAGAATTGAAACTCCCAACTTGAGAACCAAGTAATTCTGCTTGTGAAGAGACCACCACCATGATGTCCAGTTGAATGAAATTTTCTTCATCATTATTGTTTTCTATCAGATATTCCACAAGCTATCCGCTCACTCGTGTTAAAAAAAAAAAAAAACGATCTTTAAGCTCAAGACTGCAGCTTTTGAGCTAAAATTCAAAAGGGGCTTGAAAAAAACCCAGCTTTAAGTTCAAGATTGGAGGAATGGAGCGATGTGATTAACCGACAAAGATGCAGTCTTGGCAGCTTTATGAGCAGCTTGCAGCTTTGCACAAGCTTTGCTCAGATCCTCGGAGTAACGACCAAGTAGTTGTGCAGTATGCTAGAACAGTTTTAAGGATTTCATAGGGGAATACTAAGGTGGGATAGGGCCCTTTTTTTTTAAATTTTTCCCCAAAACGTAACATGGATAGGGCCCTTTATGAATTTTGTTTGTTTTTTTTCTCTTTTTGGTTGGAGAATTTTTTTTTTTTTTTTAGCCAATAGCCTTAGACAGAGTTTTCAGCTACATCAAATCAAGTGCATGATGCTAACTACTGGTGTATGTTACTACCATTCAATTGTGATAAAATACCAGGCAAATGAAGAAGCACTTTGCAAGTGTATGTGAGAAACAACTTATGGACTAGACAAGGAGATTAAGTGGTAGAGTTCCCTATGTGTAGGAACATAATGCGCAGTTCAAAGAAACAGAAATAAAAAATGGATACCATATAATAGGAGGAAAGATTCCTCTTGAAATCTATCTGATTGACGATCTCATCCCGCTCTTCATAAAATTTCTCTGGTTTTGGCAAATAAAAGAAAGAGAAAAGGAAATCCGTAAAATTGCTCTAGTTTAGTAATTCAGCAGTCTCTAATCTTTTTTAAAACTACCTTATGTTGTTACCTAGAATATTTTCGTGCTGAATTTTCAGACTTTCTGATTTTTCTTCATAAGTTTATGGTCATAAATTGTTTCGTTGTGTCTTTTATGTTCGAAAGCAAAGAAAACAGAAAATGTTAGATTTTTCAAAAACAGGAGCCGAATCAAACCATGATGTTGGAGGACCAAGGCCAATTGTTAGCTATGTCATCATTGATTTTAAGCAATATTGATAACTGAACTATTTTTCTATCGTTTCATCCAAAAAAAAAAAAGATAACTGAACTATTTCAAAAGTTTTATAGCATACCTTCAAGATAGTCGACATCTGCTGAATGGGGTGTTTCTATTTTATTTGATGCATATATTATCTTTCTCAATTCTGTGGCGTCGTGTATGTTTTGTCAACTTCTGAATTAAGAAGCAGTTGCTGGTTTGGAAGTATCTATTGAATTTATTCTGACATCAGTAAATTGATGCAGGCATGTAATGCTCATGGTCTACATTGCGTTCCTTTGTACGACACCTTAGGTATGTATCCTTACTCTTTTGTTCGTAGTCTTCTTAATTACGCATACATGTGTGCTGTGTCTTTAGTACATGATTTTTTTTTGTTTATTCCTTTTTTTTGGTCTTTAGTGCATGATTATTGATGCTATCTCATGTTTGAAAGTATTAAATAAATTGATTGGTTTCTCCTCCATCTGGTTAGGTGCTGGGGCTGTGGAGTTTATCATATGTCATGCTGAGGTTACCATTGCCTTTGTTGAAGAGAAAAAAATTCCTGAGGTTCGTAAATGTTGCACTTCCTTTTTGGGTGTTGGCAAAGAATTTGGGGTGGGATTCCTTAAACTAGATTCAGAAGATGATTGATTTCATGCAAATTTCAAATTTTCTTTGTTGAATATTGAAGATGGGAAATTAACTTTATTTAACAATAGGAGATAGGAATCAATTAAAGAATTCTGCCACTTCCCATCTTATGGTTGTAGTTACTTATGAAAGAGTTTGAGGCTTTTGTTAAAAGTTGATCATTCAGTTAAAAAAAAAAGAAAAAACTACTTTATTGACATATTTGAAGATAGTTGACTTGGTAATGTAGCATATTTACGTTGTTCTTAATCTCCAGGTCAGTGCTTCTCTCTAGATTAAAGTACCTAATGGACAAATTTTTTTTTAAGAAATTAAAACATATTTCATAGTGATTATAAGTTCATGATTTCTGTAGTGCATTGAGAAACCTCAACTTGCGGTAAAAACAATTCATGTTTCATTTAGATGGAAGAGTTTTAAGATAAGCTGTGGTTGGAGGAAATATAGGTTAAAGAGTATGGATAGAATAGTTGATACTGACTTTCTTCACTTGAGGACTTTCAAGTGAAGAATTGGCTGGGCCAGAATTTTCAGATGTCAAGATGTAAGAAATGGACGGTTGCATCTTGTTGCAGCTTCTCAATGTGAAAACATGATGCCGTATAATATATCCAAAGTTAATAAACAACTTCAGAATTTGAAGAAATGGAAAAGTTTATGGAAATGACCAACATTGTTCAGTCATTCATTTATTGAGTTGCATTTTTCTTCATGCTTACTGTGATAATAGCATATGTTTATTGTACCATCATAAAACAACATTTAGTTGCATTTGATTTTGTCCTTATTGTCATGAACATCTCTTCGATGCTTGAACTCTTCATTTGAATGCTTTCCTGCTGCTGCCATAGTTTTTATTGATTTATGTAAAATTGCTGCCAATATGATAAAAGTCCAATATCTACTGTCTAATCTACGTCTTTTTGCCTTTTGCAGTTACTCAAAACCTTTCCAAATGCAACAAAATACTTAAAAAGTAAGTTATTTGTATAGTAATTTCTCTACCTGTCCCTACCAAATTGTGAAAGTAACTCTTTTGATCCTTGATTTCCTTTTCTTTGTTATTGTTCTTCAGCAATTGTGAGTTTTGGGAAAGTTACCTCTCAACAGAAGGACGAAATCGAGAAATTTGGTGTGGTTGTGTATGCTTGGGATGAATTTTTGTTATTGGTAAGCTGGTGGATTCCTGTTTATACTTATAACTTTTAGTTGGATGCCATTGTATGCAGTGGTGAGATGATCATAATTTTGTGGTCTGGTTTGTTGTTTTGGAGTTTGGATGAGCCTAATCTGACTGTTTGGTCTGTTTGATGCTTGGTTGCACCAGCCCTGCCTTCAGGCTGCTTGCACTTGCTATCTTTCTATTTTCGTATCCTTGCCTGCCCTCTATACATGGGGACTTGCCCAAGGATGTCTTTTGTTGGGATAGATTTGATGTCTGGCAAGCTCCTTGTTTGCTTATGAAAAGGTATACTTGGTGTGTAATGTTTTAATGCAATCTAAATTAAGGATGAAGCTTTGTGACTTGTGCATTTGCTGTGTGAAAGCGAATACCCCTGATCACAATAAACATGAATTAGTTGTATCGAAGCTAGAGTGAGTTTCTTTCAGTGGATAACCGATAACTTATTTGCTTGTCTCTTTCCTCGTGATATTTGTTCTATCTACCATGGTATTGGGTTTGCTGTTATGTGCATTCATATTTGTGTGGCTCATATGGTTATGTTTGACAAGGTTGACCTACAAGTTTAATGCAAATTTCTGGTATTATTGAACAGATAATCTCTTGAATTTCTAATCTTGCCACAATCAAGAAGCAATATTGACCATTAACCCATTCTTGCCACAATTAAATTTTTGTTCTGAACCTTGCATCAAAAAGTTTTATTGGCTTTTGTTCATATGCGAGGCAATGGCTCCAATTTTTTGTGTTCTCTTTAGCTCAAGTCCTTCAAAGTGACTCAATGCTGAGCTTTATCTGGTTGCTTTACTAATATCTGAAGAGGCGCTGCTGATTTAGTCAGTCATGTCAGTTTGTGGTTACTGGACTATCAGTATCATGCAGAAATGTAATTGGTGGTGTCTTAACTCTGTATTGTTGGTGCATGCTTTCCTGATTTTTGTTTGTTTAAGATTATAACTTTGATACAGAATGTGATCTGGCGGCGTTTTAACGCTAATGTAGTGGTGCATGCTTTTCTTATGGTGTGTTTGAGAACATTGACTGCCTATGTACTTTCGTTTTCTATACTTGGTTTATTTATAGAAGTCTTTCGCAATATATTGATATTTCCAAGTCGTGATCTTAGTTTTGACCTTATTGTTGCAGGGTGAAAATAAGAACTATGACCTTCCACTGAAACGCAAAAAGCGACATCTGTACAATAATGTATACTAGTGGAACAACTGGAGATCCTAAGGGTGTCATGATTTCAAATAATAGTATTGTCACTCTCATTGCTGGAGTGAAGCGTTTGCTAGTTAGCGTGAACGAATCGGTGAATATCTGTTATATTTTCTCTTTACTCCTTCAAAGCTTGAAGACAAAACTCCATTTCCACAGGTTGTAATCATAATTTGATCTGGAATCATATTCAGTTTCTGACTTTCTCTTTGTTTTACAGTTGACTGTAAATGATGTCTATCTGTCTTATCTTCCTTTGGCACATATCTTTGACCGTGTGATTGAAGAATGTTTTATTAATCATGGAGCCTCAATAGGATTTTGGCGTGGGGTAAGATGATTACTGTTCTTTGTTTTTGAGAAGAAATTTGGGCAAGCTCTTATGTACAATGGTGATTTTGTTGCTACAGGATGTCAAATTGTTAGTTGAAGACATTGGGGAGCTAAAGCCAACCATCTTTTGTGCAGTTCCTCGGGTTCTAGATAGAATTCACTCAGGTAAATTTTTTATCCACAAACCAAAAATGACCAGAACAAGACACCGCAACTGTTGAAAGTTTAATTTATGCCACGTTCGGATTTCTATTTTGAGTTTGTTTGCCTAGTTTGGATAATATTTCAGAGCTAGTTTGCTGTTTTACTGAACTTACAGACAGATTAAATTTATTGTCCAACAATCTTGTTGAATGAGTTCATAACAGGAATTTATGTCTTGAAATTTGCCCCAGGGGGCATAATTAACCTCAATGCCAAGTTCAGTGTGTTCTATGGAGTTGGTGTTCCCCTCTGCACGTCCACTGTTTTTAGCAATCACAAACATTTTGGTTGATTCAACTTTCAAGCGATAAATTTGTTGAATTTTTTGCAGGCTTGCAACAGAAGATATCGGCAGGAGGTTTCATAAAACAAACGATGTTTAATTTTGCATATGCCTAGTAAGTTTTGTCCCACCTCTTGTTTTATGTCATGAAACATTAAAAATGATCATTTCTGGTGAATTGGAGACTTAGTTTTTCTCAACATATATTTGTGCTTTTGGACACCCTTGTCTAGTTTTGCTTCAAAACTGGAAATCCCTTAATACGTCTTCTGAATTTGCCAGTTGAAGCAAAATTTTTGTGAGCTGTGATTTGAAGTTTGCTTCCCATAGAAATCCCTTAATACCTCTACTTTATTGTTGGCTTGAATGATATACTTACAAGGCAGATTTCTTTGCACAAACAAGCACACTTACATCTCGCTTAACTACCTTCGCTTGAAAATTTTCCGCAGCAAGTTGCGTAATTTGAGGAAGGGGCTTAAGCATGATGAGGCAGCTCCTATCTGTGACAAAATCGTTTTCAGCAAGGTTGAGACTTGTACTTGATGCTGATATTCCATTCTTTTTAGTTTTTTATCATGGCAATGGAAATTTGACTTTGGATCTGCTTCACCGTTCAGGTTAAACAAGGTTTAGGTGGGAAAGTACGGCTTATTTTATCTGGAGCAGCTCCCCTTGCTTCACATGTTGAAGAATATCTAAGAGTGGTATCTTGTGCTCATGTACTTCAAGGATATGGTATTCTCTTCTTTCACCCTCAAATGCCATTGGTCTTTGCTTTATTTACGCAAAGTTCTTGTCCACTGGTGTTAAATCTTCTTGCTTATATACTGTGTTAGGCCTCTTTTGTTTCTCTTTCCTATTTGCTACTCAAGTTTTCTCCTTTGCCCTCGAATGTATATGTTGCACTAGAATTTTAAAATTGAAAAATGTACTATGCATTTAATATTCTCATCATCACTAATTAAAGCTGTTGCCTATCAGTTGCAGAACTTTCATCTGCAGCTATATATCACAAGGAGTTACTATAATCTCTCATAAATAAAATTTTATGCTGCTTGTGATGCCTCTTATTATCTGCTATGGTCTTTTCTGGAGCATATCAACCATCATCAGACGATGGCAATTTGAGAAATCCTGAGTCTGCAATGTGTATTCCAGAGTTAATTGTTTGTTTGGAAATGATCTGGATTACTCATTCAATCTCGTTATATTATGTTCCTCAAACAAGTCCACTGTATGGGTTCTGTTTTGTGCTTAGGTTGAGGACTAGGCATTTCCAATTTTGAAAGAAAAAAAGTATAAACAAACTTTTCTTTGTTTGGGGTGTAGGTTTGACTGAAACATGTGCTGGTACCTTTGTCTCTATACCACATGAGATGCGTATGCTGGGTACAGTGGGTCCTCCTGTTCCAAACGTGGATGTCTGCCTGGAATCTGTTCCTGAAATGGGATATGATGCCCTCTCAAGGACTCCACGTGGAGAAGTATGTGTAAGGGGGATACCTTGTTTTCAGGTTACTACAAACGTGAAGATCTTACAAAAGAAGTCTTTGAAGATGGATGGTTCCATACAGGTTGGTCTAAAGTGATGCTTTCACTAACTGTATTACATGTAGGACTATACGTATATGCTGATCCAATGATCCTGCCCTAATTTTATCAGGGGATGTTGGTGAGTGGCAGCCAAATGGGAGCCTGAAGATTATTGACCGTAAAAAGAATATTTTCAAGCTCTCGCAGGGCGAGTATGTAGCTGTGGAGAATTTGGAGAATGTTTATGGTCTTGTTAGCGCTATTGACTCGGTATGTTGGCAGTATTCTTGACGTTTAATAGTTAAAAACACTAATGCAACTGTAGCATGTTCTGATCATGGATGTTTACAAGAGAGACACTTTTGAATAGCATGATAGTTTCGATCACATATTTAACTGAGACTCGTAGGTGTTTGACCATATAATGGTACAGTTATGCATCTATTCTTCCTGTACACTTCAGTTGCCGTGATCTTTAGCTGTCTCTCACTTCTATGCAATCATGTCAGTCAATGCTCTTTCACAACTTATTGTGCTACCTACATGCTAACTTTCTGCAATGGTATAACTCCTTGTACAAGCTGTATGTCAAACTCTTTTGCTACATCCATCTATCTTACCTAATTTTTCTTATTCCAATAGGAGAAGTACTTGATTTGATTGGAACATTAAATTTTTTCTAATTCTTTTTTTCTCCTATCCAAAATCCAGATCTGGGTCTATGGAAACAGCTTTGAATCTTATCTTGTTGCTGTTGTTAACCCAAAGAAGCAAGCAGTTGAAGAGTGGGCTCAAGAAAACGAATTAACTGGAGATTTCAATTCTTTGTGTGAAAACCCTAAAGTGAAGGAATACATTCTTGGAGAGCTCAACAAGATTGGAAAAGAAAAGAAGGTTCATCCTCTACTGATTCTGAGTATTGGTTATATAATCTCTTTAAATAACTTCTGTATAATTTGTCTGGATGTTTCTCATGAGTGTTAAAGAGTGCGTTGGTATTACATGTAACTTTCTCTAAACATCTGTCATACGCTTGGCAGCTAAAAGGCTTTGAATTTATTAAAGCTGTGCACCTCGATCCTGAACCATTTGATATGGAACGTGACCTCCTCACACCAACATTTAAGAAGAAAAGACCCCAATTGCTCAAATACTACCAGGTAGGTTCCTTTCCATCTTTGGTTATAAAGTTTCCAACTCCGGTTATGTCTCTGCTCTTCTACGTCTGCATGTCGTGTACATCTGAAACCGTGAAATTGATGTCTGCTGAATGACAGAGAATTACATTGCGAAGGATTGATAGTTCCTTGAATATAATTATTCTGGCATGGTTCCAAATGTGCTTCCGCACATGCGTGCATGTTACATCCGTAATTTTAGACATGCAATCGCTATAGATCATTATCTTGCTTTCAAATATAAGTTGCAGAGATTGTGAGGTAGTAAAATAAAACAGAGACGTCCAATTTGTAGTCTACTAATCTTATTAAGAGGGTTGACAGAATACCATGAACATTCCACGTTTACATAATTCTCCCACCTTTAGGATAGTGTTGGTTTCATGTTCACATGCATGACTCTGTACGTCACTGATTATCTTTTATTTTCAAGATAAAAGCTTTGACGTTTTGTTAAAATTCGTTTTATTGCTGCAGAATGTAATTGACAATATGTACAAGAGTGCCAAGTGAGCTTATAGCAAGAGCATATACTTTCACTCTTTCGACGAAATACGCGTTCCAGTTTGCCGTTTATTGGTATAACTTCCAACTCTTCTCCCTCTGTCTAACCTGTTTTGGCTTTGGGATGTACATATTTACAGTGTACCGAACTGAGGAATTAATAATGTACGTGAACTATATTTATTTTAAATCCTAATGTTTTATTTATTTTCCTGGAGAATTGTGAAGTTTCTTATTCACAGAACGGGAACAGTAGATTAGATGCGAAGCTGATTTATAAAGTTTTACGCTCGTGTTCCCCATCCTCCTGATTCCAGCAGCTATGGCCTGATTTAGGTCTCAAATGTTATTTCATGTCATCGCAATTACACCGATTGCAAGGTGCAAGTTTAAGTTCTGTAACAAACTTTACGAAAGAGCAAGCTCAAGCTGTTTAATAAGGATTGTAACTAGGTTCGACTTGGAGGATCAAAAGGCCCATCGACATTTGAAATAAGCTTTTTGTTCTGAAGACATCAAGAGTAGTTTTAACTCTCTTCATGATACACGAGGAAATTATTGTCAAAATATTCAAGACGAGCATGTTGTAAAAAAGGTTGCCTTTTTCAGGAGCAAAACCGTTAAGAAACGAGGTGGAGAGGAATGCAAAAATACAAAAATATTTGCCTTCTTCGGAGCAAAATTGTCACAGGATTCCATCGAGAATGTACGCTGCCATCATGAATTTTTTATCCTTTCTCATGTTACTGATACTGGGAATTAAATACTGGGGAACACAAATTTTTAACTGAAAAAAGAATCATAAAGTAACAAGACAGAAGTCACACCCACTTATTTAATTACTCTTTTAATCCATGAATGTAACTGTAATTACATAAAATACCAGTCATCAGATTATCTTCCCTAAAACAGAGTTGATGAAAACTGCAACGCCAGTAACTCCTCTCTCGTGTACTTCAACCTTTGATCTGTTTCTGAACAAACTAAAAAGATATGAATACACGAGAAAGGCAACAAAAGCTTTCTAAGGAGATCTTTTAAAGAATGACTCACCTAAAAGACGACTCCTATCATGTGTCATTTTCTGCCGCTGTTTGGATGGATAACTCTTCAAAGCACTATTGTCAAATCTGGACGGTAACAAGGATATTTTCTGCCGCTGTTTCGATTGAGAGGTTTTTGAAGTTGCCTCTGATGGATATAGGTAGCTACTTCCACCTGTGTCAGATAAAGACATGCTAACATGTTCATGCCTCACCTCAAGTTTTGAGTGCTTTCGAGCAAATAGAAAGATTGCATCCTCAGTTAAAAGCCAGCAACCCCTGAGATCCAGCACTCTTAGCGCCGGGGAGGACTAAAAGAATCAAGCCCAGCACTAGTTAGCACAGCATCACGAACACTAAGATGTTCCAAATTCTGCATTGCAGAGAAATGGAGTAATGATTCATCTGTTAGGATGCCACTTTGCAGCGATAAATGCTTCAAGCTATGGAAGCTTGACAGAGGAAGAGTGCCGCATCCTTGATTTGTGGACCCCCCAACTCTAACCTTTCCAAGTTGGTAAGATCCTTAAGTGCTAAAAATGATAGGACCGCAGCAGAATCAGAACCTTCATGGTTGATCAAGCCTAAAATTGCAGAGGAAATATCTGACATTAGTGTGTATATGAAATACAAAATTAACGTAGAGAATCAAAGAGGAAGCAATTAACACTAACATTTGAAACTCATAATTGATAAAAGTACTAGAAAATTGGGACTAAAACAACCTAAGGATTTTCAAGGGGACTCGGGTAACTGAAATGGTCTGCTAAATTGGACATGAAAAATTAGAATAAGTTGTAACATGTAGATACAAAAATGCAGAAGTTCACTCTCATTAAAATTGTATAGGAGTGCTTGGAGAACTATCTGGGATACTGTCCTCAAGAGTAAAAAGTTGACAAATGCTACAATAGATCTTTGACATTGCTGTCAAAAACCTAAGCTCAAAATCCGAGGGAAAAGGGAGAATAGGATGTAATACGTTTAATTCTTGGAAAAGGGAGAATAGGATGTAATACCTTTAATTCTTGTACTGCTGAGGTTGATAGCTTTTAGTGAAGGCATCATGCCAATGTAAGGGAGAGCAGAGTCATCAACAAATGTGAAAGACAGGAGCAGAGTTTCAAGATTTGAAACATGCCCAGCCAAGATTCCCACTCCAGCAGAGCTCACTTTTGTATTGTTGAGGTTCAAATATCTTAATTTTGCACCTATGCATGCAATATTTGCAACTGAATCATCTGCCATCGAACTACCACTAAGGTCCAAATATGTTATTGAACTCAAATGAGGCAAAAAGTAGAATGAGTCGATATGAGCGTTTGATAGATCCAAATGAGAAACGAGACTGGTTTCCACATTTGAAAGTGCTCCACAGACATCAGCAAATGTGGCACCAGATGCAATGAGCTTTGCTAGACGAGCTTTATCACCTTCTCCTTTGAATAAATAAGTAATAGTGCAATTGCTTATGTTTAGGTGTGCAAGAGAGGGCAGAATTGGCAACTTCGTGACTTTGGTCCAAGCTAGATTTAGAGAACTTAACTTGGGAAACACTTGGAGAAGAGCAGCACCTCTATTTGATATTTCGCTTCCCCAGAGATCCAAAAAGTTTAGTTTCTTGAGTTCCTATTAAAATCATAAAGAATTATTAGTTATTAGGAGACTAAAAATACATTCTCGTATCAGTGATACTCAATGGACTATTTAGTCTATTTGGCACACTGCCAACTCAAGGCATGGAAAGATCTTGCTCAGTAGAACTAAAAGTACCGTAAAAAGAAGATAATCATGCTTACAAGAATATATATATCAAAACCTATTGAGTGGCATAATCTTTGAAAAACATTTAATTCTTTGAGAAAAAGTTAACAATTACCAATTGACACATTCAAGTGTTGTCTTTCACTGCTAATGCAACAAGGCAAAAACAGTATGTGCATGGAAAGGACAGGAGGAGACTTGAATCAAGTATAATGCAGCAGAAAGTTCACAAGAGCATCTAAACTACCAAAATTCCAACCTGTAGAGAACTTAAAGCCATGTCAGTGACCGGCAAGCCTCCCAAATCCAAAACACGTAGATTAGTTAATGAGAAGAGAAACATAATTCCTTCAGCGGTTACGCCTGTTTCTGAGATGCACAACCTCTCCAAACTTGGAATGGACGAAAGATGCCTAATGCCAGCATCAGTAATCTTAGAACATCTTGAAAGGTCAAGCTCCTTTAGATTTGGCATGCCTGAAGGAAATGAAAAATGTTAAAATGCCGAATACTATATTAGAGAGAGAGAGAGGCAGTAAAAAAAAATTGTCCATCAAATTGGGTAAATTATCAAGACAGCATACCTGTAATAGACCACAGAGCAGCACTATTAACTTTATAACAATCTGACAGATTCAATGAATGCAAGTAGTTGAAGGCACCCAAGTATGCCATCCATTCTGCATCCACACAATTCTCCCCCCTCAGGTCAATTTCCTCCACGTTATGTTTGAAGACTCTAAAGAAGTCAATGCAAGTTTAGTGTAATATTTAGAAGTAACAATAACACTAAACTTTAGTTCTGCAATGCTACCAGTTAGTTAATCACCACAAATAGCAACAATATATACTCCCATTTAAAGCAGCTTGTTATTGGATGCTAAATTTGTTTGAGATACAATTCCTGAATTTTCATGTGCAAAAGAAGAAAAAACCTAATGCAGAAGAAAACCAACAGAGCAGCACATATCAGTACAAGCAACTCTTAAGATGATAAAAGTTTTTCCAGTTAGAAAATGTTTATAACATACTTCATTCATATTTTTCTTCTATGTCCTTTTCATTCTAATTTTTTATGTAGATAATGTTTGCGCATATCGACAACACAATAATAAATTTAAGCACAAAAGAATACTCTTAGGCTTCCACATAATTCACCAACACTCAAAACTTCTCTCTCCTTGCAATCAAGTTTCATATAAAGCTACAGGTATGATCCCAGTCTTAGAGATTGAGGGGAAAAGGAATCCTTCTTTTTTCATATATCGTAAGAATCATAGCGTGCCAAGCGGTGAAGGATTTAGGATCACAACGAACTCAGAAAATCAAACTATCACTAGTTTTATCCTACCAACGGAATAATTAAGTCACATTCCATCATAGTTCAGCTTAGTTTTTGAAAAATTGACAGTCACAGCACAATAAAGCTGCAAAAGTAAGCGCCTAAACATCGAAACAAGATCTGCATAATACATATTTATGAAACCGCAGAGAACTTCCACAAAATTTCTGTACCTCCGATTAGACGTCTCTAATTAAAAAAAGACAAAAAAAAAACAAGTATACTATCACTACTACAACCTTAGCAAGCAAATCTCAGCGTCAAAATCATCTGAATAATTAATCTGCAGAGAGGAGGAGCAATAGTTAGGATTAAGTGACTTACTCGAGCAAAGAAGGAAAAAGAAGACGGCGATGTAGGAGGCGGTGGAGAAGAGCTCCGGCGAGGAGAGAAGGCATCCGCTCCAAAGTTCGACGCTGTCTCCGCCACGCCTCCACGGCGTCTCCGCTCTCCGTCGCCGCCTCGATGCACATCCGAATCAATTCACTCTCCGTCTCGATTCTACTTCTTAGATCAGAGCTTTTCATCGCCATTTCTTCTGATTTCTCAATTTTTTGGGTTTATGTCTTTTTTATCCTTTATTTATTTTAGGTAAAATTTCTATTCAGATTTAGATATGAAAAATTCCCACTCGTTTGAAATGCGAAATGTGAATTATTTATAGCGGATAGCGGCAGCAAGTTTTCATTTCCAGCTCCGCTTCCTGCTCGGGTGAATTTAATTGCGGTTTCATTTCTTCTTCTTTTTTTTTTAATAATCAGCAGACTAAACATTGACCAGGAGTTTTTCTTTTCCTTTTTTTCATTAAAAAAATAGAAATATAATGTATATACGTAACCACCAAGAATACATTGGTTAAAGAAATAGGACGAACTGGTTTTACTTTTACCCCAAAGGTGTTGATTGAGGTTCAAGAAATTACCTCAAAGGGTGTAATTTGATTAAATTTTGATAATGATCAAGTGACGATGATCCTTCAATTAATGGTAGTTGATCGGTCGGCATGCATGGTTACAGCGGTCAATAAACTTGATCAGAATTCAAATTCGCGAAACGTCTAAAAAGTATACACTTTTAATAGGTTCGGAACTAAAAATATATAAATAATAATTGCAAGATTAAAATTATAAAATCGTTGAAGTTTGAGGGCCAA